GCCTTTATATAATTTAAAATAGCATTTAAACGCAAAATATTGGGAACGTATCATTCACATGGAGCTCAGCATTTGGCTGCATAAAAGCCAGAAAACATGTTGGTCCATCTTTCTCCTTCCATTCCCATTTGTGAGAGCAGTGTCATTTCCTCCACCCTCAACAACTGTGTTTCTGGAATTTTCTTTTTGGCATAGCTGGGAAAGTGATAAAGCCCCACGTAAATCCATGAAGGAAGTAAGAGTGCTGTAGTCTACATGCTTAGTGACAACCACAGCCACAACTGCATGGGGAATTACACTGCTAGCTGGCACAGGAGAAGGAGCAACCACATCACTCAAGACCGAGGTGATGAAGGCAGAGAGCATTTAGGCTCCTGCTCAAATTGATGGATTCATATTGGATTAAAGGTGGCAAAAAAGGGTGATGACACTGCATAACCAAAGAGCTGTAAGCACTGGAGAGCCACCTTGCTGCCAAATGCTGACCACTCATTGGACTGAACAAGATACAGTCAGTATGGAAAAATACCATCTGATCGTAAGATAGAGGCTCTGAGACAACAACACAGACATATTTGGCTATATTATGACAGCAGAAGCTCCTTAAGTTTTTAGTCTAACTCTTCTTTTTACTTGATTGAGCAGTCAGCAATTTTAAGAAAACTAACAAATACAATGGATTTTTAAAAAGAATGCTATTTTCAGCAATTCAAACAAATTTTGTTTTAGTTTCCACTAAGCTGAAAAGAGGCATCCAACTGAACCTAAGGAAGAGCCACCCATTGAATATCTGTTTTGCCACAAATTATGTTGCCACCAGATTTGACATTAGCATTCAGGGAAGCAAAACCACCACTGTAACAAAAAGTATTAGTGCAGTAGAGATCCTTACAAGAAGACTGGTAAAAAATATACCCTAAGTTTTATTCATCAAAAGCAACTCCCTCATCTGCGGTAGATAACTTCTATCCCAGCAGCCACTCCCAATCATAACAACCACTCAACAAAAGCAGTTCAGACTGGGAAGATAAATTAAATTGTTCAACAGAATTTAAGGGATAGGGTCTCCCTTCTCCTATCCTGGGTAGGATATCGTTTACAGACGTCCAGCAGTTTTCTCCCAAAGCTCTTCTGAAAGATGGCAGATTCATTTTTTGTGGATATTTTTTCCACTTCTCAAATGAATACACAAAGAGAAAGCAATTAATCTGTGTCAAATTTGTGTACTGTTATCCAAGTAAAACTGACAAAAGAGGTTTGGTTCAAATAAAATAATGTAATGTAACATAAAAAAAAAGAACACAAAAAAGAAAAACAGTACATATGGCACACAGCATCTGGCCCGAAGTTTACCGAAATAACTAGGAACCTTCAGAGCCTTCCCAAACTACAATATAAAGCAGTTGCATAAGCCAGGAAATACAATACATTCTTGTAACATTAATAAGAAATTTTATCTTTAAACAATATTAAAACAATATTAAAACAATACCAAAACCAAACAAAGGAAAGCCTCTAGAATACAACATAACTGAATTCAGCTGCTCACTCCAGCCACTGTGATCATTTTATGTTACAAACTCAATCACAAGCAATGGCTAAAACATATGGGGGAAAGCATAAATAAAGCAGGTAGAACTGACACTTCTGCTACACACTTGCAGCTCTCAGCACTTCACTGTGGAAATCCTGCACCAAAAGCCTGTCTAGATCTCCCTGTTTAATGAAACTGTACTTCATAGTCAGTGTATCTTTTTTTCTTTCCACCTCACAATCCAGGTCTCCTCTGCACCTTATGCTCTAGCTACATTGCAAGTTCTACAGTTTCCTCCTTCAGTGAAAAATACCCCAAACCCTTCATGTTAAACTCTGCCCTGAGAACACTTCACATATGAGAAACAAAAATACTTGGTTTCTATCAATTTTTTTATGATAACTGTGTTTTAGTGTACCAGCTGTCATTCCCCCCTGCCAGGCTGAAGAAATGTTGCTTACTTAGGTTTACTTCAAATGGCCACCATTCCATGACAAGGGTATGCTTTACAGGCTTGGGTAGCACTAAGGCTATGGGTAGCATATATGTTTCAGATTGGTCCTAAATTTCCTTTTCCCACAATCTCCAAAATTCCATTTCTCCTTTTAATTACACCAGCACTGAGATGATGTTAGCAGACTGGCAATGACTCTCAAAACAACAAGTCTCTTGTGGCAGATGCGCAGCTATAGCTTCACTCAGCTTCATGATTATCATCATTCTGCATTTATTGACCCTGTCTTTCATCTGAATTTATTGCCTCGATACCTATGGTGGGATCTCTTTCTCCTTATTTGAAAGGTCTATAGCATAATCTCCTGTGTCTGAGCTAGACATCTTAATAACTTTTATACCCATAATGTCTTTCAGACGGCATTCAAAATGGGACAGATGACTCATACCACTAAAATACGTGCGTGTCTCCAGCAACTCTCTAAAGTTCGCCTTAAGAATCAATTCAGATATAAGTTTCATAGTGTTAGAAAAATCCCAGCTTTCTATTCTGAAATTCTACAATTTAGAATGACGTCTGTGTCTGACAGCCCTAAATAATTATGTTATTAACCCACTGGCAACCCTCTTTTTAAAATAAAAAATAGCTATTTACTTCTGCCCTCTGTTTTCTTCTTAAAGATTGCCATTACACTTGCCATCTTCTGTTCCTCAGGATGAATAAAGATTACATTCAGCAGTTCATGTCACACCTGACTTCTTTCAGACAACTTAAGGAGGAGGACCATTCAGTTTTAGTCATCTGCTATTATTCATCCCAAATTCAAGTTTCTTTTAAGTTAATGGATTTCTGTAAATCTGGACTAAAATTCATTTTACTGACACTGTTAACTTGAGATAGTTTTTTTACTTATTCCCCACAAATAATTGCTCATTTATAGAGGACATTAATACAAACAGTTCATTAGTTCTTCTTGTATGCACTTATTTTTCCTAAATGCTCTAATTATGCCTTGTAGGTTTTTTCAACACCACATTCCTGGAGGCTTTTTGCTTCCAATGAGTTTAGCTCCTAGTTCCATGCTTTTAGCAAACTCAATTACTTAAAGCAACTCTCTCCAGATCATTTTTCTTATGAAAGCTTACTTCTAAGCCTGCAATGCTCAAACTTTTCCATTCTCCTTACTTGGATATGACAAGTACTTTTTAAATAATGTTTGGGTTCTGGATTTGATTTTTCTTTTAACCTCCAGAAATTCTTTATTCTTCTGTTCACTCACCCTTCAGTATATTTTTTATCAATTAAATACAGTTTTAGCCTGTTTTGGGAAGGTGTCCACCCCCTTAGAATGTTTTCCCCAGTGTCATACATGTGCAATTAGCACTGAGCACTGAACATGCTCTAGAAGTCAAACATTATTTCCAGTGTGAAGCTTGGAATCAGCAAATACATGAATACACAAATAATACTTTTTCACAAAGTTTAGAAATTTCAGGGGCAAGCCAAGTACATAAATGCACATACATTTCTCAGAAAAGACCCAATGGGCTATCATTTCAGTTTGAAAAATCCAAGCAAAAAAATATTCCTCTTTTTGAGACCAGTCTCCACTGTGTATTCATAGGGGCACAGCAAATATTTGCCACTGCCAAATTCATGAGCCTCAAATAAGCCTGGTTTTATTTTCACATCTCTGAAAAGAATCAGAGCACAAAAAGCAATCCGTAAACTGCTCATTGGAAGCAGTCACATGAAAACATCAGACCAAACACAGGACAGATTAAGCACATTAATACTGATTTCAGAAAGACACATTAATACTGTGTCCTTATATTTTCATTTACTTGTAAATTTTTGCATGACAGATATGCTAGTTAATTCTAGTTAATAGTTTGCACTATTACACATGTCGTGAAGCAAAGTTTTATGTGTTTGGACTTTTTTTTGGAAGGGAAGGTAAATCAGGAAATCAAATACTGCCAAGAAGATGTGTTTATTTAAGGGCATCATTTTTCTGAGTATGCCAGTGAATAAGACCATCTCCCAGAAGCACCTGAATTAAAATTCATAAACCACACTAAATTCTGATAATCTCTACAGAAAGATTTCCTGCCACATGGTTTATAGCATCAGATTAAATATTTTTTACTGGGCACTATCGTGGTCTTCCTGATTGTTCTAAGTATTGGCTAAGGGAGGAGATTTTTACAAAGAAAAAACAACCAACCAAAATCTACTTTCTAGGACTCTGTCTGCCTTCTAAATAAATGGAAGAAACTAATTCTGTCTGTGATGATACTAATTCCACGCTAATAAGGTTTTTCAAAACCTGCTCAACAGTGCACAATATACTGGATCAGTAAACCCAGGAAAATTTGAAGCATGCTAGAAAAACTGTGTTGTAGCTACTGGGAATCATCTCTGTCAAACACTTCCATACCAAGCACATAAAGTGTATTTTTATTACTCAGTTTGGATGACAGAAATTAACAGTTCCATTTGCATTGCACTATCTGTGAGTTGGACCCTCTTTTAAGTAGAATCACTGATGGTGTATAAATCTGTGTGGCCTGTGAGCATAAATTATCTCATTAACCAGGATGCCCTGATGGAATTTCACATAGTTTGCTTCAAATCTCATTGATTCTTATAACTCCTAGATGGAAGAGTTATTCTACATGCTAAGAAAATGCTTCTTGTATTTGTAACTAATTTGGGGAAAACCTGCTTTGTTGCACGTAAGTAACCTATTGATGTACAACACTCTAAGAGTAGTCACCTCAAAAGTATCAAATTTTACAGGCAGAACAACACAATCACCTCTGTGAAGGCGCATGCAGGTTGCCACCACTGATAACATTTACCAGGACCATCTTACAATAGACTTGATTACTACTCAAGACAGAGCTCTCAACCAAAAGCAACATACCTAGATCACTGAGGCCTCAGGTCCTCCCTGACATTTCTAATAATGAAATATTTAATTAAAAAGCCAAACACACAACACCTTACCTTTGATGCCATACGCATGAACAGTGAGTTTTGATCCTCTGCTGTCCTCATCTTCTCTTTTTTGACCAAATCCTTCAGGTTCATACTATCATCATCCTGAAAATACCTTACTCTCTCTTTATCTACATGAGTAGGGATCTAGAAGCAAACACATTGAAAATAAATATTAAACTAGTGAGAATGATCAACTATAAAATTCAGATCCTAATAATTTCAGGAATTTTAAAGAATCACGAATCAAGCTAAGCACACCTGAAACAACTGGGCTTGCTGCTTCATTTCACTTAAGGAAAAGAGCATTTCCCCCTTTCTTCAGTTGCATCAGTACACTGAAATAAAAATATAGCCTCTTTCTACAATTGCTATATCTATCATATCCTTAAGCTACTAGAGGTACAATATTACCATTCAGGAAAGATGAAAACAAAGAAATGTGAAACAGTCGATCAGCTCACAAAAACCAGACTATTCCAAAAAGTAATCTTCATTATTTACAGAAGCTTCTGAACTGTCAAGTCACAGACACTACTGAAACACAGCAATCACAGTACTGAGAACTTGATAAATGTGGTACTTCTGCTGGGAAATGTTATCATCTTTGAGCGTACAAAAGAACAAGAGTTTGTCCTTTAGAGCACGACTAAATGAAATCCTGAAGGAGCATAGGGAATGGTCATTAACATAAAACAAGATGATACTTTCCAAAACAGAAAATAGTAGGAGGATGGCAAGCTACTCCTCACCTGCTTGTGCCTTTCACTCCTCCATAGCAGTGTTACAAACTGATCTGTCCAACTAATCAAGAACATGCTTGCTAGAAATACAGAGTATTGTTATCTCCTCTTACAGCAAAAAGATTGAAATATTGGGTTATTCACTGTTGCAAGCAAACACTATTCCAGTTTCCAAACTTCTCACTGTTCCCCAAACCGCTGTTACAGAGATTGGGTAATAATTTTTATTATCATCAGTAGCAGTATTTTTGATCAGAAGCAAATAAAAGCAAAAGAAAATTAGCCCCTGAAACTTGAATATTTCAATAAAATCATATTTTGGAAATGCTCACCTCTGCTAATCTTCATTATTTACATAACTTTACGTAATAGAAACGCCTTGGCTAAGAGACTGTGATAGCTTGAAAAACTACTTTTTCTTGAATGTGCATTTAAATAGGTCCTAAAGTCATCTCTAGGGAAACACAGCCTGAAAATAAACTTAATATATGCTTAATAAATACATACTCTAACACTTAATTACAATCATCTTCTGACAGGAACATTTTAACTACCTATTGACATTCTGGTGAGACACTCATTACTCATCATAAAATTATAAAATTATTTTAGAGTTATCCTTTAATACATTTGTAAAACTTACCATCTGTCTCTTTCTCCTTCCTCCTTTGGACTCCTGTGGTTCAGCTGGTGCGGTCACAGGCCATGCCCTTCCACTTTGATCCGTTCTGACAAGGACCACTTGTTCTGTTTCTTGATGTCTTGAAGGCTGTGTCAGGTTTTAAAATATATTTTAAAACAGTTGACATAGACAGCACCAAAAGAAACACCTAATCCACACTAAATTAAATATTTCAAATTCTGAATGGTAAATAACATTCTTAAAATTTTGCGTGTTGATTATAATTCAAAGCAGACACTATTACCTCACACAAGGTTCCTTTTCCACTTTCAACAAGAACAGAATATTAAACATATATTCAGCTAGTTAAGTGCAGAATTAACAAATCTTTTCCTAAAAGAACCAAGTTTGTATTCTTGGTACTTTCTCATATAGCCTTATCCCCAGAAGAAATACAATGCTTCTGAAGACTCAAATAGATAATACTGAATTAATATACACTGCCACCATTATAACAGGATATTCCCAAAAACCACTGTAAATCTGCAGCAAGTTACCACTTCTGGGCTTTTTGTGGTCTGTGGGTGTTGTGTTTTGTGTGGTTTGGTGTATTTTCTTCCTTTCAAAACTTGGCTAACAAACAAAACATTAGCTATAGATTTTCAACAGATTCCACTAGATCTGACTTTTATTTCCTATACTGCACCTACCACTTATACAGATTGCTTTCATCACAATGTAATAATGATAACATTTTAATCTTGATTATAGGGTATGCAGAATAGGAAATACAAACAGCTCAACAAGTATATCTCTCTATGGTGAAGAAGAGATGAGTAGATGTACACTTATTATTCAGGTCGAATTAAATTATAGACTGAGGCAGAAGTAACTGCATTTAAATCATCTGTTCATGTGCCAAAATATACAGAAATAAAAACAAGTGTTTACCTGATACAGAATCATAGAATAGTTAGGGTTGGAAAGGACCTTCAGATCATCTAGTTCCAACCCCCCTGCCATGGACAGGGACACCTCACATGTATGCCAAATAAGTCATTTAAATGTCTTTGGATGGCAAACACATTGTCTCATATAAATTACCTTTATATGTAATTACTGCTTCTACATACCAAAAAAAAAATTTGGAATTATGAGGAATTATCTTCTAACCCTGACTAAACCAATCTCTTGAGGTGCTGGAGATGTAAGAGGCATACTCAGGACATGGCAACAAGGAAAGCTTTCACACACCAATCTTTGGTCCTCACGGTAGAATGGAACCACCAGTTCATCTGCCAGAAGAGCAGCACAGTAGGGCACAAACAATCCAGATTTTGAGTGTATTGAGAGCAAGTACTGATACAAATGCTGACAAACTTGGCTAGGAGTGTTGCTCTCCCAGATCTTCCACTCAGAAATTTAAAACCAGCCTCATCAGGTTCAAGGAAATCAGAAGCTACCCTGGCTGCAGCAACCAAGAGATAGTGGAGCTTAAGATTCTAAGGGAAGTGAGAAAGGCAAGTAACAGAGCAAAGAAAACCCCCTAGATTATAGGAAAATGCTCTTGTTTATTCAGGGATCTGCTTGGCTTGATCTCATGAAGGATGGTCATGAATGACAAAGGTGTCCAAGAGAGTTGGTTGATCTTCAAGGACAAATGATACTGAAGCTCAAAACCAAAATGGAAGCTTCCAGAAGGTGTAACCTGAGGCAAGTCACCCAGGAGGACCACAGAGATAAATGTAATGAGATAAACAGCGCTAAACGTACACTTTACCATCTTACAACTGGTGTAAGAGTTCAAAAACTCTAAATAGGAGCCACCCAATCTAGAAATAGTGCAATCAGTCAATGGAATCCTTTGTCTGAGATACATCTTTTATTTAAACTGAATAAAGCCCAAGAGGAAATTAATGATAAATGGTGTCATTTTCCTTATTTTCCTTTCATTATCCCTGTCAGCATTTTGAACATAATTTGGGGGGGATTTTTTTGCAATACTGGAGTTCACAAAGTACCACATCCCACCACCCAAACTCGTAGAAGACAGGACCCAGAACTAGTCTTCTGCCTTAAGTTTTTTAAATTCATTTCAAACTTGATTTCAAGCAGATTGTTAACTGAAGAGGTATCGTAAGATCCATGTCACAACTTACATGAAAAAGTGTGTGTCCATTCTGCATTATGCTCCTAAGCTCTACTTCAGTTGAAGGGTGAGAAAGAAAAACACATGCACAAAACCCCCTGACAGCTATGACTGACAGCTCCTCTTGAGATGATATTACAAAGATGAAAAACAGAGCAGCTGTGAACATATTAAAAGCTGGATATCAGAAAGAAAGAAGTTCACAGCATGGTCTTTACCAGTAGGCAGAGATACAAAAGGTCAACATAAAAACTCCTGATAATGCTGATTTTTCTTTATCAGAACCCAAGAAGCAAGCTGCCAATTGCTTGGCTTCAGATCAATCTGTCAGCCACTGGCAGGTGAATGGATAGTAAAATCATCACTCATCTGAGCACAGAGAAGATCCCTCCATTTCCTTGTACAATAGCGTCCTGGGCTAAGCACCCTTATCCCTTCGTTTCATCCCTGGTTGACTTCATTGAGATCCAGGGCTCATTAACACTTCTGAATTTGTTTAAAAGGTCTGCAATCACAGACTCATTTCAGAAAAATATACCCTTTTGTAAAAATAATCTGGAGGAATATCATCCACTCATTTAACTTCACTGCAGCTCAGGAGTATTAAGACTATCTCCCATGACTTCTCTAGCCACCAAGCAGAGAAAGCAGGAACAGCCTGGAACAGCTGTACAGCAGGAGTGAAGAAGAAGGAGGACTCATTAAGGAGGAGGACTCACTAAGCCAGACAGAATTTATCAGCATGTATTAAAATAGAGCATTATCATATAGCTCAGTGATGAAGGCACTCCCATGGATTCCAATCCTTCAGACAAAACACGAGGGAGTAGAATTAATATATCACCCAACTGACTCCTTGAATACTTCATTAAACCTTACATCTCAACTATTGCCAACTCCATTTCTAAGTACTCACAGTTGCAGCTTACAATATTGATACCAGTGAAGTATACACGTGCCACATGCTGTTCCATATCGCTCCCTTTATGTGCCCAGCCCTCATTCATCAGCAGATGAAGGTATGCTTCAGGGCATACCATCCCACCAACTACCTTCTCATTTGGAATGGAATTTACTACCTTTCAGCTTTCAAGCTGACAGACATCCATTCAGATGATGGATGTCAAGAGCCAGGTCAGCTCAGCTCAGCTCCTTTCAAAACAGGAACAACAGTACATTCCTACTTATTCTCAGACTTAAATAAGGATATCTACATATGCCCCACCCCCCAAAAAATAATACTTTAAAAAAAGGCAGAAATTCTTCACCAGAAAAAATATTTAACTTTTTAAAAGCATATCTATAAAAAAAAAGAAAAACCTTTAAAAAGCCTGAGAGTTTCTTGATTGCACTATAAGATTTGTCAAATCTTATAAACAACTTTATTAATCTCAATTTGAAGCTATTTTCCAACAAACCACTGATGTCTGCTTTACATCTGTTACCCTTGCCTAATGAAAGCTTGTCCCAAAAACCCCAGTGAAGTCTGGGAATTCTATAGATATTGAAATATGCTAGCTTCAACAGCTTAATTATATTTTTCCATGAAAAGTCACATGAAGGCAGTAGTTACAGGCCAAAAAGCTGTCTAGGTAAGCCAAACTTCTCTCTTCTGTATCACCAAAGGCAAATCTCTTCTTACAAGGGAAACCAAGATGTTCAACACTGGTCTGGCTCCAATAACAATAATGGTATTTTCAGTGAATTCACATACAACACTACTTATTTTTTTCTGCAGCCACCAGATACGTGACTCAGATGTTAGTTTTGTACAAGATAAGGTGTTTTCTCTCTACTGAGAGCTGGCGCAGAGGTAATTCATCACAACATGAGAAAAAAGCTGTATGCTTCTACCCCACTCTTGCTATGTGCTAAAGGTCAAACCTGGCTAGAGATGCAGACTGCCAGAGGGGGCATGACTGGGTTTTCATGTTACCACTGTGCTGCTCAGATAGGTGTGAGACCTTGTTATTATTGCAGCACTAAAAGCACTATTAATCTGAAAACATAACAACAAAAAAAAAAGAAAACCTAATCAGCATTAGATAAAAAAGAGGAAAATAGGCTGCAGAAAAAAGTATAATAGGAGCAAAAAGACTGTACAGCACGTTTTTAAATGGGATATAAATGCAAATGGAGTATTCTGGATATAGTAACAAAGAGGTAAACAATGCAATTTGCTAAGGAATTGGTTATTTATTTTGGCACATAAAAAAAAAAACAGCAAACAACCAGAATAGGTAGACTTTTGTGAAAACTGTTATGCTTAAACAACCTGTGACTTAGCAGGGCTCGGTAGTGTGACAGACAGTAGAAACAATTTTAAAGGTTGAAGGAGATGGGGAAGAGCAAAGTCAAAGAAGCTGCAAAGTGCTTCCATTTCTCCACATGCAAGACTTCAGATGGCCTTACATCCTATTTGGGGCATTACACTTCAAGAAAGATGCAATGTAACAGAAGAGAAACTGGAAAAAAGCAAGAATTACTAGAGGTCACAAAAAAAAGTGAGGAGAGAACGAAGACAAAATTAGGGAACACACGCTAGTAGGTTGAAAAAAAACTGAAGAGGTTTTGTCAAAATATAGTATGTGATGAATAAGAGGAAAACAAAAAGGGTTAAATTGCAAAAGAAACGCAAGTTGCATATTAGAAAGGCTCTTGAACATTAACGACTGTTGAACAACAGTACAGTTGCCTAAGAAGAATATGGAATCACCATCATGGGGGGATTTCAGGTTTGGTTTTTTGTTTTGTTGGGTTTTGGGTCTGGGTTTGGGTTTTTTTTCTAGCCAAGATGAAGTAGAAGATAAGAACCATGGATATGTACAATGGAACTATAGAGGAAACCAGTAATGCATTAGAAAGTTCTAGTGAGGGATTTCAGCAGCCTCTCAGTTACTCAACATGAAATCACACAGAATAAAACATCTGGATACAATACATATTAAATTCTTTGAGTCAGAACCCTACAAGAATTTTATGAGTTTTGTGAGGGTTT